TATATATACTGTGTACACATATATATATATACTGTGTGTATATATTTTTTTATTTTTTAAAGCACAAAATGTTAAGAACTTTAGTTTAGCTTTAGCTAATAGTAGCTTAGCCACCAAGGAGTACTGGACTTATACAAATAAGAAAATATAAAAGTATAAGCATTAAATATAAATATTATCAATTCAACTCTAAAATACTTTATTGATCCCAGAGGGGAATTGGGTAAATTAGGTATCCAAGTATATAAATATTTTTATCACTGGGCAGAAACTATTATTACATTTGTAATGATTTTTGTTTTGTTAGTTTGTTATTTTATTAATTATCAAATTAAATAATTAGCCTCATTATTGGGTGTTTGCAGTATTCATTTATGGTAAATGTAACAATTATTTTAAAGTCTCATTCTAACCAAGCTATGTAATAAAAGCCAACTTTTTTGGTTCTTCAAAAATATTGCTCACATTAATGACTTCATTATAAAGACATGTCTGTTACTTGTCTAAAAGCCTACAGGGTTTGAAGTACTCTTGTGTTTATTTATATCGTGAAATATTTTTGCCAAAGAATGTGATTAGACACAAGGGACTGCTTTAAGTGTGGTTCTGTGAAAAAACATATTTTTTCAATTGTAGAAAGCTTTTTATATGATCTCAGTTTGGAGAAATAATTTCTGTTCCACAGAATGTTTTTCACTAGTTGTTTGTGCAAGCACTGCTTCATAAACATTTACACCACCATTAGTTTCATATTACATTATTTTACATAAAATTCTGTGGGCATTTTGCTGGAACAACAAGCAGCAACAGCAGCTAGCTGTAGCAGTTTTAGCAGAAAACATCTCTACTAAAAATACCATTTGACCACAATGTCAAACTAACAACATCCCAAAGGTTTATTAGCATAAAAAGCTATGAACTTTGAGACAGGAGTTGTTTTAAAACAAGAGCAGTCCACTTTGGGTTTAGCTGCAATCAGACTAGCTATTAGCTCATAAGTCATGTTTAATTAAAAGTGTAACTACCCTGCACCCATAACCCCACCCCCAGGAAAAAATGTGGGCGGTGCCAAGAAATATTGAAGGGCATGACCAAAAGTGTGGGGATAAGCCAGGAGGTGTGGTTAGGACGAGGGAACGTGACAGGTAGCTAAATTTAGCAAGCTAACATTTCTGATTGTTCTAAAGAAATGAATGTGTTTTGTAAAAAGTAAAGTTTCATGACACGTTCAAACTCATATTTATCTGTTTCAAAAAAGCTCATAAATTTCAATTAACGTGAAAGTTGAAGTGATGTTAACAGCATCATTGCTAGCATGGGCTAATGTTAAAAGCTGTAACAAACTTTCATCGCATCACTGCAGGGACGTGTCTGAGAGAGGTTTTTATAACACAGGAGCTGACTTAAGCATGTACCGTTTTAACCTATAGGAAAATTCAACTGCAGTAGCCACTGTTTAACCCATAGAGGGCAGCACTAAGACATTTTTAGAGCAAACATTAAAAATTTGAACACATTTACTCAAAAATGTCAACATTGCACAGAAATATAAAGACCCTTAAGGCACAGTTTAGACAGTTTGCCTAGAAAAAAGTTTATTTTAGGGTTAGTTACACTTTAAACTTTGTTTC